CAAGGCAATCCCTAACTTGGAATCCGGAAGGGAAGCGGAAAAGAGGAAGGCCAAAGAACACATTACATCGGGAAATAGAAGCAGATACGAAAAGGATTAATAACAACTGGAAAAGAAGTCTCAGGACAGAGTTGGATGGAGAATGCTGGAAACAGGCGTAAGTAATTTAATAGTTGCAAACTGCTTTTCACTTGCTTTTTTTCTTAAGATCGTTTAGCGTTCATCACTCTCAACAAGAGAAAATGGTAATGTTATAATGAGTGATGTTCGAGATCTGATAGTGCTACACACTAACCCTCCAATTTGACTACTTAGGCGGGAAGATGAAAAAAGAAGAGAAAGCCTATTAAGCTATCGAATAATATGCATAAATACTTATGTATATTTCTACCCCTTATAAAGCGAATCCACATTATATCTATTCTATAATATATATAATGGCTTTGCAGAGGCGACCTTTAGAAGATGCACATATGCCAACTAAGATTGATTGAAGCTCAGTCAAATTATCAACAACGTAATGCCAGCCATTACAAATTAAATTAATCAAAAGATCGTCTTGATTATTGATTAATTTTGTCTGAAGAACTGCTAGAACTACATGTCTATCAAATAAATGTATAATACTAACATCTGAAGAGGATTACAAGTGAATAATTTCACTTCAACCATTAGATTTTGTTCCATCTATCAAAAGAAATTATAGGTACATGTGAATATAAGTAAACAAACACACTGGTAACTAACAAGTTTATTCTATAATTCAGCATGTCAATATATAAAAGTAAAATTATGTTAACTACTCAATGTGAAGCTAAACAAATTACATCTAAACAGATTATTATTCTTCTTTAAGAGAAAATGGATTTAATTAAAAGCTCAGTTATATCCAGATAACATGTTTCACTAATTGTTCCGCTCGGTTAAAGTGAATATAACAGCATCAGAAAAGGGATGAAAGTTTATTTCTGTTATATCTTGTGGCCTGTGTGCCCTGCTTAATATATAACCTGATAATACCGCCAATTAGAGAGCAGTGAATTATCGATCGGACCAATGACACACGAAACCCCTATGAGCAGTCTAGAGTCCTTATCGGTCCTGCTTCCCGCCTAGCCCAACCAGTTAAGTCCAGAACACTAATAACAGCCTTTGCAATATTAATCCTTTATTTCAAGCATACTGGGTTTATATATCAACCAGACAGATCACATGGTACCATAAAATAGGAAACAACATTTGTACAAGATTTAGCCAAATGTGGATGTGAATGTGGGAGGCAGTAAGTAATAGACTGGGGATAACTCAAGAACGGTAAATCGTATAGTAATAGTTCATAGATCAAAACAAAGCTTACAATTAAAAGAACATGAATATGAGTAGTTAAGTTACTTAACAATTATACAATAGGAAATATACGTATCATATTGGTCCATAAATAGTTCTGAAAAGTTACCATTCATAATTCTCTTCGGGGTATAACAATTTCATATAATACTATATACAATATTCGAAGTTGAGGTTTTGAATAAACATCCACCTCGGTTACATAGTCAGGAAGTAGTGGACAACTATTTCATCCTGGTTGGGGAATTCTCAGTGCAATGTCATATCGAAATACTAGTAGTAAGCTATTACTTGCTGATCGTTCGACGGAAGACGACTCGAAGTAAAGGATGCAAAATTGTGAATATAAATATAATTATGCACCAACAGCTAATCCAAACGATATGAAAATATGCAATGAAGATAATTCATTTTAAATGTTGAATCAATAGATAGACGAATATGTTTAAGTGGCGTTAGTTAACACTTATTAATCACTAAGTTAGCTTGTATGTAACATTTGAAAAATCAGTAGGCTGAACTACTTTAACTAACGGTTAGAATTAAGTTACTGAGTTGTATGTTTTGCTTCTTCTTAATACTCAGTAGTCCCTATCCATGACACTACCAGGGGTCGAATCCCGAAATTTTGGATTTCGCAGCGAGCATTAAACCTTCATACTGATGGGCTGACATCTGATAGTTTACAGTTCTAATTTCAGTCAGTTTGTAATATTAAGTGACCATTATCTATTAGCGATATTTGTCTAACGCGACATGGTCGAACTCTACAGTTCATGGCTTGTCAACAGAATTCCAGAAAGTACCTTTAAAAGTCACTAATTCACATGACAACTCTTACCACGATGATATGAAATTTTGAATCCAAATATCACCATAACACAGTATAATTAAATTCAAATAATCTATTTGTGATAGCTGATCAACCGAATCTAAGAATAAAGAAGAACTACTTGTATATTGGGATTGATTAGTTAGTTATTTAGACCTTAAGATATAAGTGAATAATTGACGGGTATTATTAACCTTTGATGACGTTTGTAGTCATAATAAAGAAAAGGTTGGGAAGGTGAGATCAACTAAGTGCCAATACAATAATTAGAAAGTGGAGATTCTTTAACAGAACCTAGCAATATCCTTGATTATATAGCACAGAAAATAACTACATAACACCACTCATTGTCACTAAAAATAACGAGTGGTTTTCACATGCTTTTCATTGTTCATGGAATAGAGAAAATCATTCTCCAAATTCACTTCTGCAAGATAAAATCCCCAACCTTTTAAATATTTCGAATATATATATACGGTCAATACAAAGATTGTCGTACAGAACAAATCAAACCTCAATAGTAACTTGGATAAGACACTTCTTATCAAATAATTAAAATTTTTTATCTTAAAACATTTACGTCTCCCTCTATTACAATATCAGTGTTCATAAACGAGAATATGTTAACGTGTTGATCAATAGTGATTTGCTAATATACGTACTAGACAACTGTATTTCTATTCAAGTATTGTTTCTTATCAAATATAACACTATTATGCATCACTGGGGTACACATGCTTCAACCAACTGCTTTTCTAAGATACCAAATACATTTGTTGAACTGAATGGGTTAAACGTTCATGACAGACACTAAGAACAGAATTATTTGGAGTTGATCTTGAACACTTATAACCGCAACTAGGCGTATGTCTACACCAGTATGCAATTACCACATTACTAGCATTAAATTAACGAAAATTAGTTGGTTACAGAACATTTTTTTCTTTACATCTTTTATACTAACAATCAAAAATTTTGAGTTGTTTTTATTTGTTTTAAATTACTAGACATATGAGGGTTATCGTTTGACCAACAAATTGTGACAAAGTAAACAATATGGAAGAACTTCATAAACTTTAGTTGAACGTAGGGTTTCTTCTTTATTGTGTATATGTGAATGAAAATACGTAAAGTTGGACTGATAAATACTTCCTGTATGATAGATAGTAAGCGCTATGTAAATACGCAATAATCAGACGTGATAAATATAAATAGGATATGTTTACAAGCAAAACAAAACATGAAAGTCATTGAGTCAAAAACACCCCTTGAAAGTGTTATATTTGTAAATCACTAGACAGTAAGGGATTAAAAGTCGACCTAAGTAATTTCGAAAATACGTTTTTTGTTTCCCTACGTACGCTGCTTGAGTGATGATAGATTATATACAAGGTTTGATCTAACCTAATTTAGGCTAAGTGAGGAATATGTAGTAACACTAGACTTTCGGTGTTAACCTGAATACGCTGAGTATGAAGTATAAAAGGCGTATTCGTAACCTGGTAGTCAAACTATTTCCACATTAATGATTGTACTAGCAAGCGCTAAATTATATGGACAGTTTGAACTTTTAAATTCGGCTACACATGTAGGCGAACTAAAAATTCCTTGTTAGTGATGAGTAAAAATATTGTAGTCTAGTCATGATATATGTGAAGAGTTATTTTTGCTCATGTTATGAAGTATACTTTTGGTATATAGATATAAGAATACCTATCTTATGAAAAGATAATCACGCACACTCACCAGTTCTTAAAGTTTACTTACAGAGATTACATGAAATAACGCACGAATAACCATCTAGTTAACATAGTCTACCAGAAAAAGTTAGAAGAACAAAGCAGTCTAAACATACAAGTTTGCAATGGAATTAGACTGACAACGATTTCATGAATACTTCCTTACTTCGGTAACTAAGTATGAAGATACTGCTACGGAACATATGATGATAAACCAACTCTAGTGAGACTTCTTGTAATTGACTGGAACAAATTATTGTTTAGTTTAACTAAATGAAACCTCAAAAATTTTCTTTTGTACACTTCTAAAAACCATTATCAGTAATTTTGAATAAATTGAGCATTGGGTAGATTGTTATAAATAAATAATATATTTGTAATATCCCAATGAGTAGAAAAATTAGATTTTCCGACGTTTCGTGACTCAGTGTAAGCCACTTCTTTAGAGAATAAATAAAGTGGTTTACACTGAGTCATGAAACGTCGGAAAATCTAATTTTTCTACTCATTGGGATATTACAAATATTTTATTTATTTATCATTATTAGTACGTCCTTAATAAAACATTATCTGACTGCTTAAACTCTGCATGTGTCTAGAAATGAACATCCATCTATCCATCATATGGAATGGAATTTACACAACAGATACATTACCATTAAGACAATTACACAGATTCCGGAAAAATTAAAATAGAACATAATATGACAGATTTGAAAACTGCAGATGCTACACTTTCAAATCAGGATGGGTATATAATATGAATTAAATGTAGAATCAAAAGCGATCAATTTTACGTTTACGATAAACCATGGAGCAGTGAATTATTACAATTATTACAATTTTCAAAAATCCCCATTCCGATAATTATAAAAGCGGAATGAAATAAAGTATTACAATGGTTTATTTGATACACAACAATAAGATTAAAGGATATCGATGAGAATCTTTTTCACAAAAAGTGATGAATAAGAGAAACTGATTACTTATGTACAAAACTAGAAAAATATCCCGAGAAAGACAAGGTTCTGAATAACAGTATAGGAGAACATGCAATGTTTTTATTTAATTTGCATGACTTCTCATGAGTTCAGTTGTGAGATATCGGTTGGATCGGTCACATTTTCTTCATAAACCTGTTGCTCCTTTTTCATACACTTTTCATAGTTCTGCTTGTGTCGAAATCTGACATACAGACCAGGTGAATCATATAAAGATTTACGCTTTATGCGTTTCTCAAACCAAGACAGTCTGAATTTACTATTCGAATCACACGTGCGAGCTTGAAAAAGTACGAAAAGAAAATGGCTATATAGTATCAAATATAAGTTACCATATCGATGGAGTTTTATTATGGAGCATTATAGTTATATGCATTTATTTATACAAATTTAATGAGGACGTAGTACTTTTCAGCTGTTCCGAATGTCGAATAGTACCCTATAAGGTGTTCTGCATATAGCTCTGTGAAATCAAGTAAATAACAACGTAGTAACTCAAGTAGTAGGATATAATAAATTTGTCAAGTTACAGTCTATCTAAAAGTACAATGCAGCTAAAGTAGTATTTCATTACAAAAACGGCTAAATTATACACGTTTCAGTAAGTAGGTCGTTGGCTTGAACCACTTCTAACCGGTTTACTTTGAACAAGCAGGTAGTACTGATAGCCTGTGAAAAAATTATGCGGCTCAAAGGTTTGTACTCAGTGAGTTGCATTAAATTATTATCAAATCAAGAATTGGTATGAGTCATCAATTCTTTACAGAGAACTCTTTCTTCAATGAATTGTAATTTCTTCGGAATTTGGTAGTCTTCACTCTTTCTAATGACGAGAAGTGTGAAGACTTGAACTGATGCAATCGTGGGTTAAATTCTGAGCTGACAACCCCACCTGTTCAAAATGCTAGTAAAAAAATGGAAAACTCTAACGTAGGTAGGTAACCAGCTAGTGAAGCAAAGAATTAATATTAATTCTGAATGTTCAATCTAAATACTTTTACTATAGTTCAGTCATTGAAAACGAAATGGTAGTAGATCTAACCATATAGTATGAAGACTACAGGATCATCAGAAAGGGAAAAACAAATTATGTAGACAAGCATAAGGGGCATATACTAATAGCCAGTCATGTGACAATATCGGGGATTTATTACAATGACGATTATCTTGCAGTTACAACAAAGACAGTCAGTCAGTTACAACGCAGAACCTGTACGTATGTACACCGGTCCATGCCTCATAAGCACAGAGAGATGTCAGATCAAATCCCAGGATAGTAGAGGTAGTAACAGTATCAGTGATAATAAGAAAGATTTATTTTTATTTATTTATTTAAACACATAAATATTGGTACAAGGAAGCACCAGATAAATATGCGTCTCACAAATCTCATTTCATTTGTGTGAGGACTGTGATACTGCTCAGGTGCCCAGACTGAAGCAGGTGGTTTTCTTAGGGAGCCACACCCAGAGCCTTTGACCCGAAGGTCTAGTCCACAAGGCAGTGGAGCATCGTAAGGAGATACAATCCCATGGTAGCCGGTGATCAACAGTTGGTTCATACGCCATTCGTTCCTTTAGGATACTGGAGTCAGCCCATGTGCACCATTGGTTTGGAATCAGGGTTTTCCAACTCCCCTAGGTGAACTTTCCGTGTCCACCAACCCGGTTTGAGCGCCGGACATTTGCTTTTAGTCCTCTCAACTTCGTAAACAACACCCATGGTGCGAGAAGGCAGTTAGTAGGACTTCCCTGGCAGAGGCTATATATTCGCGTGGCTATGTGAGAGCATTTTGAGAGGGAGAGAGTCGAAGGCTGCCTTACGGTCGAGAAATACAACTACAGTAGGACGTTGAAAAGTATGTCTGTGCTCCATGATCTCTCGAATGGTGGATATTTGGTCCACATATTCACGTTCAGGTCTGAAACTAGCCTGGATTTCTCTTCACGAGCTCTAGCTAGACTTTGAAGTATTACTGAGGCTAGTATTTTAAACACTATATTAGTTAAACTGATTCCAGTGATTATCACAAGAGGATTTTTCTCCTTTCTTATAGACTGGGACAACCAGAGATCGACACCGCTAAGATAGGATTAAGTTCAGTTCTCAGATTTTAGCTAAGGTTTCAGTTAATCTAACTGCTAAAACCAGACTACCGTCCTCAAAAATATCAGCGGTTAGTGCATCAGGCCTTGCTGCTCGTTATTGCTTTGGGTTGCTTATATTCGTTTTAACCTCCCTGAGAGTTGAAGAACTTATATCATTTCGCCATTCAAGTTGCTTGGGAATAGCGTGTAACTGAAGTGCGATTGAAGGTTAGTTGAACTGCTCTCTAAAGTGTTCTGCTAATCACTTCAATATCCTGGATTAAGTGAATAATAGTACCGTCTTTTTCCAAGATACTTTCACTAACAGCCAGATTTGTAATACTCGTTTTCTTAATATGTCTGAATAGTTGTCTACTGTTATCTACGTTGTTGCTTTTTCCATCTCTTCGACTTTCGCTGCTCACAATCAATAAGTAGGCTTCTGATCAGCTTACGTTTAAGCAGCCTCTACTTCTTGCGGCGTTTGGAACCAGATGGGGTGAGTTTCCAAGCATTTATCAGTTCCGTAGATTCCTGTGAAGTCCACCGTCTTTTCTGAGGCTTTTGGTTGTAGTTACTAGTAGATATCACTACTGTTTCCATAGCTCTTTTACATGTCATGCCAAGCTAATTGAAACTTATTATGGGTGACTTTTATAATCAATTTACACTCCAAAACGTAACAGCAACCTTAATTTATCAACTCCCAGTCTTGTTAGGCAGACTGCTCTGATTTAGCAAGTGATCGTTGGAAATTGTTTTTGATTGCTTTAACTAATAAAAGTCGCCATTACGTGCATACTGAGTAATCAACTCACACTTTTTCTTAATTTCCCAAATTTTTACATACAGGACTTTAGCTAACTAACAATATCTACCCACCAATTTCACCTGAAAACCCAGTTATATAGATAGGAGATGAAAGTCATGATACGCCAAGACAATTAAGTCACAAATCAAATTGATAACCCTCATTTCCACATGGCACTTTGGGTTGACGTCAGTTTAGCGCTCATTGTCTGACTTTGGATTGGCCGAAAACAACAGCAGTAGATGAGCGTTTCTCGAATTAAATTTATAAGACAGCTCACATATAAGACTAAGTGTGATTTTGAACAGGAGAATGAAATGACCTAACGAACCAAAAACCCTAAGGATTTCCGACCATTTAATATTTAGTGAAATGACTTCATAGGTGAGTAACCGTCAACAAGTGTCTGATAATTATATCGAAACAACAGACCTCTTGGTACCTGTACCGACAATCAGTAAGTAGTGGTGACAGTAGAGCACATAAAATCGCTATGAGCAGCAAATAAGAGAGGTAGACTTACTCTTAGTTTTCGTGTTGTGTGCAACCTCAGTATCCGACAGTGAGGATGACTTGTTACCTCGGTGTATTGAATCGTCTTCAGTCAAAACACCATCAGGAGTTTCATAGTTGTTGAAGCAGGGTATCCCAGGACTAAGCCCGTCTAATAAAAACGATTATTTACTTGTTTTAATGTCTGATTTACTAGGATATCGGACCGGGGTGCGAGTAACATTAGATGGTGAACTTGGGTCATCTTTGTCTATTTGGATAGGGGTTCTTACTATCCCATCACTGGGTGAACGTGGGTCAAGGTCTAGAACTTTTGAGTGTTTAGGTATTTTTATAGGCGTTAAGTGTTTATCTGTCTGCTTGACTGGTGGACTGCTTCGAAAATTTACATAGTTACCCATCGTCGAAAGCGCCGAATTCCGCGCCACATTACATGATGTGCAGATTTCGTTGAACCAAATAAACTACATTTCCACTTTTTATTTACTTATCTCAGAACGAAACAAGGCAAAGGAAGCATCTGCCAATCAATAAAGATTGTTGTTCTGTGAAGATCAAATTCAGTTTTATGCTTTTAAATCGTTCTTGTTACCTCTCGAAATTTCTATCTCGCATGTACATGCGAGATGTACATGAGAGTTCTGGTACGTACCAGAACTAAGCTATGATTAGAAAGTGTGTGCAGCCGAAAATCGTCATATCATGAAGACTTTGTGGCCAGGTCTTTTGGAGTTCTTCTGAGAATGTTTTTGGATCATGAAGCTGATGTTTCAGGACCATTCTGGAATATTAGCTCAATGAGGTCCCGATGTTTAAAATCAAAAGTCGACCAAAGCTTGATAACAAACAAAAACTTGGGAGTATTGGGTGATCGTGATCAGAAAAATAAAAATTTGTCGATTGGGAGGCATAACTCACCGAAAACAATGGGGAATGACTGCACAAAGTCGTGAATTGACTGACGTTAGACATCAACGACTTCGGACGCTGACTCACTGGATGTTAAACATTCATGGGAGAGACCGAAAGCCTATTGTTCGAGCCTAACGTACGGCGCCGTGATTGGACACTGCAGAGGAGTTATATGCTGAAAAAAACATCTGCCCGTTGCTTCAAGTTTTCGATGGTTATCTAACTATGATCAGGTCGTGATTTCAATGATATAGCTAACTATTTGATCATTCGAATCTATGTCTGGGTTTTGTGAAAGATTCCTCGCCTACTGAGACCTTAATTCTGAATCTGGCCTCTCAGTATTCTGAAATTTTCTCTTCTGGATTTTCTCTAAGGTGTGTGCCAACATTTGGTTTCACTGTTGGTGCTTTGAGATTGACAAGATTGTTGACCACGATATTACGTTGTCATTATACCCAGTTATATAATATACCCTGATGGGCCAGGGTAATCTTGTACTGGTTTTCAGGAGAACCAGACATCATCCAAACTTTCACGAGGCAACCCAAACAGTACAGCTCAATCCCGTTTAACAGGAGAGCCGGACATGGCACAGGCTTAACCCAAGCAGTACAGTTCAATCCCGCCCTATAGGAGAATCAGACACTATATAGGCTTCAACGCTACAATGCGAACAGTACAGCCTAATCCTGTGGCGCAACCACTCAGGTACCAAACACCCTGGTGTACCATTCGCACCGTTCATATACACGTTTACGTCCCGTGTATAAATATTCCGATCAGTGATTGCGTAAATCAATTATGCACAGCATGAACAGACCAAAGTTTGCCCATTCCGCTTACACGACAGCCAAACTCATTAATATTGGCAATGGCGATATGCCTTACGATGCTCCAATTACCAAAGCCCTTGAGAACACTGAAAAGCAACCACCAGTATGAATGAAATCGGTTAAACTGCCAACCAACTTTTCACATGGACAGCCAGCAAAACTTGCCAAAGCAATGCCGAACCATCCACAATATCAATGGCGAACCTCCGGTCTCATGTGAGACCTTCAACTCTACATGGCCACATAGCTTATACTGCATACAACACACATATAGGGTAGTAAGCGAAACAGCCCAGCCTGAAGCGTTAGGGCCTAAGAACGCTTAAAACCCATTGTCTGGTGTCGGAATAGTAATACGAGACCACCAAGATCATTTTTATCGCATCTGCGGAATTTTCATTTTTCCGACTTTACAGACCCTGAGTTAGGGATAGTAACCCTTCATTATCTATTCGGACCATTATGCCCAAATTTTCATATTAAATTTTTTCGATTTCAAGGGTCGCTTTTGGCCTGTATACAGTTCCGTGTCTGTTGAGAACACTTTTATGATAATCAGAAGTATTTGAATTATAGTATGAACTAGTAATCCCAGGAATAACGTAATTTAATCAAGAAGTATTAGATGAGCACAAACGAATGTATTGTATTTGGAATTCAAAATCGCAACAGTCATTACTACAAAGAAGTCATGGATTGATTCAAACATCACATCCGCCACAGCTCAAATTGGAGTGTAAGTGTCTGTAATCGATTGTTCGTCTTCTTCTTAAGTTCATCTTACATCTGTCTGACAGTGCATTGGATGTGGTCTCTGTATTATCCGTAATGCACTCATTAGTATTAGAATTAACAACGGAAATGAGAACAGGCTCACCTGGGTTCTGGTATTGTATATGATCAACGTGTCGGTTATGTATAGTCAAGTCATCGATATCCAGAATTCGCACCATAGATTTTCCAACATTCTTCACCACGATCCCCGTGGCTTGTCAAAGATCATTCCCACGACAATATGTAACTTCTACAGACTCCAAACACCTCATATTCGAACGGAGAATTCTTCCTTTTAATGGCTTCGATGGAGTCTCTTTCGTCACAGAATGCTTAGCATTTCTATATTGAAGTACAAATGTATCTACTCCCCTCTCCAGTTCATTAAATGTTGAAGCAGCAATAGAATCAAAAGCAATTTTCAACGTTCATACGAAATTTTCTGCCTGATCATTAGAACAGGGGGGCCTGGGGGCCATAAACAGATGTCTGCATCCTATACCATTCAACCAATTAGTGACTTCATCCGCAGCGAAATGAGAGCCATTATCAGTCAATAACACCATGGGAACTCCCTCTCTACTAAACACCTTTCTTAATGCTTGGACTGTGAAATCAGAATTCGGTGAAGTTGTGAAAAAAACTTCAGGCCGCTTAGAAAAAGAATCGATAACTACAAGTGCATAGTATTAGGGTAACATGGTGGTTGGAGGTGGTCAACAGGAAACCCTGGACCCGGGTTTCGTGCTACTTGGCACTCGTCAGCAAGGTGTACCTGTAATCTTGAGGGAACTGATGCTCCCTGGCGGATTCGATCCCGCGTCACTCAGCTTCACAGTCAGAGACGTTACCACTGAGCTATTCGGGCCGCGACCGACCTCCTGTAGGACTGAGATCTAATCACAATTGATTGATCACTGGGTGGTGATCAATCTCATGCGTGTCAGGTCCTCAGTGCTGATCGAATGCTATCGATCAAGTTGCAATGTGGCCACCAGTCTAGGTGGCTCGACACTGCGGGCACTATATATATTAGGGTAACATGGTGGTTGGAGGTGGTCAACAGGAAACCCTGGACCCGGGTTTCGTGCTACTTGGCACTCGTCAGCAAGGTGTACCTGTAATCTTGAGGGAACTGATGCTCCCTACAGGAGGTCGGTCGCGGCCCGAATAGCTCAGTGGTAACGTCTCTGACCGTGAAGCTGAGTGACGCGGGATCGAATCCGCCAGGGAGCATCAGTTCCCTCAAGATTACAGGTACACCTTGCTGACGAGTGCCAAGTAGCACGAAACCCGGGTCCAGGGTTTCCTGTTGACCACCTCCAACCACCATGTTACCCTAATATATATAGTGCCCGCAGTGTCGAGCCACCTAGACTGGTGGCCACATTGCAACTTGATCGATAGCATTCGATCAGCACTAAGGACCTGACACGCATGAGATTGATCACCACCCAGTGATCAATCAATTGTGACAAGTGCATAGCATTTGCCAAGAAATGGACCACAGTAGTCTGCATGAATTCTCTGCCAGGCCTCAGACGATACTGGCCATGGAGTCCACTTCGAAGGCAGACTTTTTAGCTTATGACATTTCTCACAATTGTTTGCTGTACGATATACATCCGCATTTATCTCTGGCCACCAACATGTGAGTCTTGCCAAGGACTTCATTTTCTCAACACCTAGATGTCCACTATGAAGATCATCAAGGACAGGTTTGCGTAATGAAGGAGGAATAACAACACGATCATTTAGACACAAAATACCGTCAGGAGTAGTAGATAACTCGACCGGCTTTGAATAATAGACAGGAAATCTACGTTTCAGATTAACATTCCAACCCTTCCGTATAGCACTGAGTATATATCCAAAGTATCTACGAGTTTCTCTAATGAGATCTGGACGTCTCACCGGAGAACGTTGCACTAACAAGCAGTCTGAAGTTTTAACAGGTCTATTTTGTAATGGTTGTCGAGAAATGTAGTCAACGTGTTGAGTTTGTTTTGCACTCCTGTGCTGAACCGTATAGTCATAGGCACTCAAAGCAATACTCCATCGTTGAACCATAGCAGCTGAGGAACGTGCTAAGGATTTTTCAGGATGATACACGAACTTTAAAGCTTCATGATCAGTAACAATGGTAAACTTCTTTCCAAATAAATATTTATGAAGTCTTTTAACAGCCCAAATTACAGCTAATGCTTCTCGCTGCGTTTGTGAATAACCTTGCTCAGTAACAGTAACTTTGCGTCAGACACAGATAACTGGGCTAACTTCCTGTTCAAAAACTGCACCAATACCCACAGGTGATGCATCAGTAATAAGTACAGAATGTACACTAGGTGAGTAAGTTCGAAGAGCAGCATCTCTTTGAAGAAATTTTAGCAGACTTTATAGGCATGACTCTTGTTTTTCACCCCATTTGAATGAATTGGATGTCAAAATATTAAATAAACCGTTGACACGACAAGAAAAATTAGGAATAAAACGAGAACAGTACTGAAGAGCACCCACTAGTGAACGTAATTCTGTGATACTTTTTGGCGACGGTGCATTTGTCAGTGGGGCTAGTCGTTTCATATCTGGTCTAAAATCATTGTAGCTGTAAATAATCCCTCAAAATCAATAGCTTCCTAAGTGTTCGACATTGGATGCTGACCACGTTGTTTAAGTGAACTTGTTTAACTGAAGGCTTTCGGTCATGCATCCGTACCAGATCACGTTTCCACTAAGCGTGGGACACAGCTCCTATGTTCACTAGCCAGCTAAGAACAAACGCTTCTCGATATATTGGTAACGTATCAAATATATCTTTCCTACCTCTTCTCGTCTGACTTCTGATTTCCATTGGTCGGGAAGAAGTTTCGAATATAGAA